AAACACTCGTAAACAGCTGTTTACTCTGTTATGTCGATAGACTGACGGAATCGATATTTAACTGGGTAAAATCGAGACATTTTATTATAAGCAAATGTGATTTAAATTATATAGAATAGTTGACGTACCATTAGTATAATTAATAGTTGAAATTTATTGTGTAGATAATGGGTTTTGGTAATGCTTCGGTGTACCCAACACACATATGGAATGCCCAAATAATTCGGGGATGGTATCTATTCCACGTAGTTTTTTCTCAAGATTCCATTTACGGCGGCGGAACTTGAATTTATAGCGTATTTTATTAAATATAAGCAATTAAAAGTGGCGATAGCGCGGTGGTAGCACGATTGTAAAGTATCGTGCAGCAACGATACTACTTCACGATGAATTTCCGATAATTTTTTAACTATCGTCAGCGCTTTGAGATGAGCGAATAAGAGCTGCTAACTATCGATGATGAATCATTAAAAATATCGAATTTTCGATTTGGCGGAGGCTATTTTGCATTTAAAGTGTATGAAACTAAAATACCAAAAATACTATTGACATTTGCAATATTTTGTTTTCAATAATTAAATATACATTTAATTGTAAATTTAACTTGAATATTTTGTAATTAATGTAAGCTATTAAATGTGGTTATATAATAAATTTAAAAAATAATAATATATATAAAAATTTATTTATTAATTATATTTATGTTTAATATTATTAATAGAATTTTAAGATTAATTTTTAAAATATGTATAAATGACTAGCGTTTACAATTGATCGTTTGAAGTGAACCGGACGACGGTAAGCAACAAAATATCACTCATCCGAAATATCCCAATGCTTAGTCGATTGCAACAGATCAACATATAATTTTTAGTAGGTTTCTGCATCTGCACGTCTAAGTCAACTAGCTTTCGCGTTATTAAGGCTCACATTGCACTCATACGGACGTTCCTTGGTATGTATACTGTGGATAACAATAATAAGTTTGTATTAGAATATATGCGGCTTTTTTAACATGGAGTGAAAAATTCAGTTACCAATAATGTCAAAGAATGATGCAATGAGTCAAAAACGCAAAGTCCTGCTGTCTCTAAACTAAGGGATCATATATTAAAACCAAATTAAAAGATGCATTAATAAAAAGATTTACACCAGTCAACATTATCAAGATATTTATATTTACTAAAATATTTGTTTAAAAATTCAAACAAAAGAATATTATTGATAGATTTTGAAGCAGTTTAAACAACGTAGGCATTAAGGGGCATAATGACCTAAGCTTGAGGCCAATGTGGAATTTCTGTTGCTGGGTCAGACGCAACTGTTAAATTTTACCACAATTATCTCAAACATTATCGCTGTTACACTTTGCGTGTTAACCTGCATGACATCTGCAAAAATTCAAATTGCAATTGAGAAAACTACCTATTTTCGTAGATTAGCTGATTGATACTTACGGGTATCCCAGCGCAGAAGTGCATCATCTGATCGTGGCGGATGCTAACATTTTAACCAAGATTTTTGGCCATATATGTATATTCTCCCTCGTTGGGATTGTTTGGGGATATCCAACAGACACTTTATCTAACTGTTCAAAAAATAATATAAGAAACAAGCTAAATTTGGATTCTTGCAAAATTATAATAATAACTACGTGCGCGTGCCTAAACAATGCGCACGCATATATGTATACGTGCACATATGATCACACTTTACACTGATTATCACACATACAGAGTTTGTACGCATACACTTGTACTTTATTTTGCAAATAAGGTTTGAATGTATGAATACATATAAACGCGCATTTCATCATTTGCAGATGCATGTTCATATTTTTGTTTATTTAAACAAAATCGGATGAAATTGCCTCAATTTGCATGAATTAATTTAACTGATAATCGGAAAAAAAACCAGATGTTACGACTATTTTAATATTATATTTAAATCAATATTTATTTTTTCATAATTTTTCTTTGAAAACTTAAAAAATGTAGTTGAACCATTAAGAACCATGCTTCGTATTTTTTCGTGTTAATACTGAAATTAAACAAAATTTAATTGAGATGCTATGCGAGCTTTCTAGGGAACTAACCGAAATGATGGCCTAATTTTTCTTCTCTGCTATTTGCATTTCACAGAGGTCTTCCAGCTCGTCTTCATACTGTGATAAATGAATTTTAATGATATTAAGAAGAATATTCTTAAAAATAAAATACTTACATCTTCATATGTGCAGTCTAGATCAATGTTTGCTCTGCCACAATGGGGATTGTAGATTCTTGCAATGGCTGTAAAAGCATGGTGGAATCTATCCATGTGGTTTGGATAGTGCGCTTTGAAAACGTAGGTTCCTAAATATCCTGTCAAATGTTTTTTTGAACGCCCATATTTCGGAATTTTATCCTTCATGTCCCTCCATTTTCTTTCAATATTTTGCGTATGCGCTTTTGTAGTTGGGTCAACAAAGTTCATTGAATGATTCACTGTCAGGTGCTCAAAACCTTCATCGCTTAGACAGCGGTATGAAGACCAACAATCCGAAATGATGGTTGTGCCATCCGCGATCTTTTCTTTTATAACGCGAAGCAGCTTGGTTTTGGTGCGGTTTTCGACAGGAACGATGTACAGCCTTTTGGTATCCCTTTCATAAATACCAAATACCCATTGGCCTTGGATAATCCGCCCACAGTTATTTTTTCTTTTTGAAATAAGGCTTTCGTCGATTTCTACGACCTTGCCCTCTCCTCCAAGCTTTTCAAGGCTTAACTCTGCAGCCCAATCCTGAAATACTTCGCGCAAATAATTACGCCAATTGACTATTGTTTCATATGACATTGAGAATTCATTTTTTAAAAATGCAGTTATGGGTTCAACTCCCGTGAGCTCGTAATATACAATAAGGCACACTTTCTAAAAAATTACATTTTTTTGTAATTTTTTTTTTGTTTTTTTCAAAAGTGTGCGTCAACCTGCACCGAAAAAAAAAGTCGCCCTTTAATGTGACACACTTGCAGGGCCTCGCCACACTCAGGACAGTTCTTGGATTTTAAAATAAGTCCGTGGTCTCTCAACCAGGACATTAATTTTTCCTGATCATTTATTATTTCTAAAAATGCATGTGCAGTAATTTTACATTCGTCGCATTTGTCCATTTTTTATTACCAAAATGTATTTTCCAGCTAAGTAGTGACATGCACTCGCGAATAGATTTCGATTAAAGAAACTACAATTGTGCACATGCACACAAGCATACATACGTTTCTAAGAACTCGTAGGAGATACAAAGCACAATCATATTGTGTTAGTGTAAATACTCTAACACATACATAGGTAAGTTAGTCCGTAAGCATGATCACTTCCAATTGGTGTATCCCATGTATGCATACATTCAAACCTTATTTGCAAAATAAAGTACAAGTGTATGCGTACAAACTCTGTATGTGTGATAATCAGTGTAAAGTGTGATCATATGTGCACGTATACATATATGCGTGCGCATTGTTTAGGCACGCGCACGTAGTTATTATTATAATTTTGCAAGAATCCAAATTTAGCTTGTTTCTTAATATTATTTTTTGAACAGTTAGATAAAGTGTCTGTTGGATATCCCCAAACAATCCCAACGAGGGAGAATATACATATATGGCCAAAAATCTTGGTTAAAATGTTAGCATCCGCCACGATCAGATGATGCACTTCTGCGCTGGGATACCCGTAAGTATCAATCAGCTAATCTACGAAAATAGGTAGTTTTCTCAATTGCAATTTGAATTTTTGCAGATGTCATGCAGGTTAACACGCAAAGTGTAACAGCGATAATGTTTGAGATAATTGTGGTAAAATTTAACAGTTGCGTCTGACCCAGCAACAGAAATTCCACATTGGCCTCAAGCTTAGGTCATTATGCCCCTTAATGCCTACGTTGTTTAAACTGCTTCAAAATCTATCAATAATATTCTTTTGTTTGAATTTTTAAACAAATATTTTAGTAAATATAAATATCTTGATAATGTTGACTGGTGTAAATCTTTTTATTAATGCATCTTTTAATTTGGTTTTAATATATGATCCCTTAGTTTAGAGACAGCAGGACTTTGCGTTTTTGACTCATTTGCATCATTCTTTGACATTATTGGTAACTGAATTTTTCACTCCATGTTAAAAAAGCCGCATATATTCTAATACAAACTTATTATTGTTATCCACAGTATACATACCAAGGAACGTCCGTATGAGTGCAATGTGAGCCTTAATAACGCGAAAGCTAGTTGACTTAGACGTGCAGATGCAGAAACCTACTAAAAATTATATGTTGATCTGTTGCAATCGACTAAGCATTGGGATATTTCGGATGAGTGATATTTTGTTGCTTACCGTCGTCCGGTTCACTTCAAACGATCAATTGTAAACGCTAGTCATTTATACATATTTTAAAAATTAATCTTAAAATTCTATTAATAATATTAAACATAAATATAATTAATAAATAAATTTTTATATATATTATTATTTTTTAAATTTATTATATAACCACATTTAATAGCTTACATTAATTACAAAATATTCAAGTTAAATTTACAATTAAATGTATATTTAATTATTGAAAACAAAATATTGCAAATGTCAATAGTATTTTTGGTATTTTAGTTTCATACACTTTTAAATGCAAAATAGCCTCCGCCAAATCGAAAATTCGATATTTTTAATGATTCATCATCGATAGTTAGCAGCTCTTATTCGCTCATCTCAAAGCGCTGACGATAGTTAAAAAATTATCGGAAATTCATCGTGAAGTAGTATCGTTGCTGCACGATACTTTACAATCGTGCTACCACCGCGCTATCGCCACTTTTAATTGCTTATATTTAATAAAATACGCTATAAATTCAAGTTCCGCCGCCGTAAATGGAATCTTGAGAAAAAACTACGTGGAATAGATACCATCCCCGAATTATTTGGGCATTCCATATGTGTGTTGGGTACACCGAAGCATTACCTTCGATATTTATAATTATGAAATCGGTAACTGTCTTGATGCGGACGCGCGCAGTTATAGGTATAAATATAATCGCTGATGATCGCTTTAAGCAATTGTGATTTTAAATAACCGATTAACGACGAGAGAGGTAAAAAAACAGATACTGATGTCAAGTGTTTACTCTATGCTTTCTGAGAATGACCAATAACGGAATCAGAATAGCCACTACTAAGTGAAATAGCACCCTCGACTCATTTAGGCGATTTAGGCAAAGAAATAATTTTATTATTAATATATTTTTTATTCCTTAAATATAGTTTAAGTGCGCATAAAAATGGCTTATCAAAATGTTCAATGGCGCCAGGCGACTTACTACCCACTATATGCAATGCCATTACAAAATAATTCCTCTCGCAATCCAACTATGGGCTGGTGTACATATGGCAGCCAAAGTGTGCAGTATACCCAAAGTGTACAAACAACGAATTTAAACTTAGCTGCCCAGATCAGTGGCTTAGAATGCCAACTGATATCGGAGCTGGATGCAAGAGGCAAGCGAGAAATCCAGCTGAAAACTGTATTGCAGAGGGAGGCGGATTTACTTGAAGAAAACAAAAAGCTGCTTACGGAAAAGACCAGACTGACGAATTCGCTAAAAGCTGTCAAAGATGAGCTGGAGAATTTCAAATCACAACTGAAGCGGGAGTCGAATGCTAAATCGCAACAAGCAATCCAGCTGAAAATAGTTATACAGAATGAGGAGCATTTGATTAGTGCTAACCAAAAGCTGATAGCCGCAAATGCTTTGTTGACGAATTCGCTGAATGCTATCAAAGACGACATAGCAGATGTTGTTAATGCCAAACTGAAATTATCAAAGGTAATGTATGGATAACCCTTGCCTCAGCTTGATAATTCACTCGTCTCCACCCTTTTAGCTAGAAGACAAACTTGCCAAGCTCAAGTGTGAGCTGGACCACCGCAACGCACACGTGAATGCGCTGACTGCGGTCAACGAAATGCTTTTGAATGGCAACGAGAAGCGGGACGAGACCATTGCAAAATACAAGCGAAAATTGCAGAAATACACGAATTTCAACTCATCATCTGACTGTGAATCGCTGCTAGAAAACAGTTCACTTGTACATGTCAGATGCAACACTCCAAGCCCAAGACGCATTGGCTGTAAGGCATTGCATGCGCTCAGTTCTCTTGGAGCTGAGAACAGCATAGGTACGCAATGTACTTAAATTGACTGAAATTAAATTGCCTGAATATATATATTTTATATATATATATATTTTTTTTTAAGGGCCCTGGTTATGTTTGCCCTGCGGCAACAGTACATCCCCCATTAAGTTTTCATCGTATGCCGAGCTTCGTCGACATTTATCTGAGGTGCACAAGGAGCTCATTGATCCGGCTCTGTGTGAGCTATGTGGTTGGCGTTCTGGCAGCGATCGGGAGCTTCATTTTCATATGTTTAAAAAACATCAAATAGAATCGCTGTTTTACACATTTTCCAGGTCGGCAATCTTGGACAAGTGACAACAGGAATAATTTTTTAAAAATACTTAAATTTTATTCAGTTTAAATTGATAGCCTTAGGCTCAAAAAGTTTTTTCTTAGCAGTTTTTTTTATAAATTTTTTGTAAATGGAAGTAGGCGGCAAATATTTGATTTCTACTTTTGTTTTTTAATATTTTGAAAGTATGCCGGCACCAGAAGCAATTTCCTTAAGTGAAACACAATGCAAAAACGGGTTAACATAAAATAATTCGTTTGTTTAAAAAAAAAATTCAAAATGGGGAAAGAATCTACATCTGTAACAGCCATTGTTATTTAGAAGTAAGGTTGATACTTAACTGTACGTATTTATAAAAAAGTTTGTGCTTCCTTTATTATATAAAGAAAATACCACAGAACATAGAACAAAAATAATGAAATGTTTAAAAAGTTTCTTTTGCCTTCAGGCTTTTTTAAAAGTACCTCATATACGATTAATTGTAATTTGTAATCTGATCACTCAACATTACTAACAAATACTTTACTTTGTTTTTAATTTTTGTTTTCGTATATTTTTATATATTTTTTTTTTGGATTTTACATAGCTTGTTATGGTTGGACATACAAAAAAAAAAAGTTACATCATCACATACATTTAACATACATACAAGAAAATAAATAAGTTTATAATTATAATAGTGACGAATTTGTGTATATATCTTTGTACAAAGGCAACTATTTGGGTTCTCATTCTAGCAACGTACACTGTAAGAAAACACGCCGCCTTAGCGCGCACAGTTATGGGCGTGCTAAATATACAGTGTACAAATTTAAATAAACTTTTATGACAAAAACACGAAAATAAGGCAATTGTTTCACTTAAAATTGACGTAAACACAATTATTAAATCAACCGCGGTATTGATTTTGTGCAAGCCAGGCTATAAGTGAAGCAAATGCATTTTCATGACACCAACCTGGCGCATGACTCAGATGTATATATATCTGATGCACAGAGAAAATCAGTTCTTATACATGAGCATGAGCAAAGCTGGCATAAGGAACAGAGAGTTGGGACACAATCTATAACAATTTCCATTGAGCTCTGTGCGTGCAACACTTGGAAAAATGCTAGGAAAAAATATTTAAGAAAAATAAAAAAAAAAATGAATTAAGTTACATTTCGAATTTTGGCCAATGATTTTGGGATAGCAGCAAAAACAATTAATCAAAATTCGAGATATAACAAAATGTACTTTACAATAGAAAGCGATAGATAGAGTAGGGGAATCACAAAGAACACATAGAACATACAAACATGTAACATATTTATCACATAGAATTACAGACTAAAGACTAACACAGAACGAAACGCACATAAAACACATTAAAAATTAACATTCCAAATTCAATTTTTGGCTTAAAAACAAAAATTAGAGCAAACAGCGTGCCGTCAATTTTGAATTAATTGTAAAACGTGTGCCTGGTGCCAGACCGGCACCACTCCTCCTCCAGTCCAGCTCAGCTCTAATAATACTCCAAGTTTTCTTCAATCATGTGCAGCACACGCTGCCGTCCGATTTTGTTCCAGAATACATACGGCTCAGATGAGCCCGTCACACTACGTGGCCCGCTAGAAAATTTATATAGAAATTTATAAATTTTTGCTATATAGTTTTTGATCAAAGCTGCAAACCTGAACCTTAACCGGTTGCTGAACCTTAACCTGTTGCTTTCAGAACCCTATTAGAACTATTATTTATATTATTAAATGGTTCGGTACAAAATAAAAGCTATTGAGAGAGACTCAAGCTTGAGTCCTATCCATAGCATTTATCTAATAATGTTTATTTTCGAAGAAAATAGAATTGTTGCAACAAGCAACAGGTTCGAGTCTTGGTTCATAGATGCGAAAAACAGGATTACGAACCGAACCATGGGGAAGGTTTGGTTCGGTTCGGCTCCGAGCTGAGCGACTAAAAATGTTATTTTCTTGATTTGCAGCCCTGATATATACTTAGTATACCATATACCGATATAACTAGCAACCTACTTCTGGAAGCAATCGAATCGTACGATGCCATTCTCATTGATCAGACATGAGTGTATATCAATCACTTTGAGATGTCGCCCCTCGCTGCGTATAAACTTGTTGAATCGGGACACCTTGTCGCATGTCTGCTTGTCGTGGCGACAGTTGGCCAGCGGTGCCAAAGTGGTCAGCACTGGCACAAATCTACGGCTGTGCATCTCCTTCACCAGCAGACGGAAATCGTGCTCGATCTGCACCAACGACCTGCCGCGCATTATGTCCTCGGAGCCGATGTTAACAATAATTTGTGTCATCTCGGGCAGCTCCACTAGGCGCAACCGCTGCCGTGCAGCATTTATGGTTTGTCCAGAGATGCACAGACCAGACTGCAGCACCTTTTCGACTGTAGAGGAGAGAGCAGCATGAGCAGAAATCAATTCCATGCCATGTCTTGTACTTACACTTCTTAAAGCGGCATTTCAGCTCCATGCGCGCCAAATACAAGAAGAAGTCATCGCCCAGCAGTGGAAAATCCAATAGATATGCATCATAGTCCGAGTTGATGGTGAACATGGAGTCATGTTGCGTTGATGGACACGACAACGTTGTTGGCGTGGGCGTATATTCATGACGCCGCTTGTGTGCATATTCCTCCAGGTGTTTGGATGGATGATACTCTGCCGGCAGTGCTGCCTGTAACTGGGCAGGATTCGAAGCGATGGAGTAGATGTTGTTCTTGGGAGCATTGAGCTGTGGGAGCTGATACTGATTGTTGCTGCAAATGAAATATACAAAAATTGTTTGATTAATTCAATATCCTTTAGAATAACTCCAACTAGCCCATACAAACTTATAAATATATTAAATTAATATTATTGTTAATTAATTCAAAGAAAATGATATTTGAATATCAATTAAATCGTATTTCTGTACGTCTCCTGTCAGCAAAAGTTGTCCTGCATAAACGCAGAATAATAAAAGGTGGCAACGCCACTGTTTTATCCGCTTTGCAACTATTTACGAGGTACAGTGTTCTCCTATATTTGGACAATTTTTTATAGAAAATCGATAGTATATTTGGACTAGGTAAATGGTAAAAAATTGTTGGTGTTGCCATATATGTTATTTGTGCCAAGTAAATATTTACAAGGCAGATGAGTTGCCTGCTAAGTTTAGAATAGAATGCCGACAAAATATTCAAAATATTTTAAATAAAAACAACAAAATTAAATTAATAAAAAAATTAAAGAACAATTGTATTCAATCTTACTTTTACATTATAAATTACGTAACTCTCTTGACAACTGTTTAGCCTTACTGATAGGACTGATGAAATTGTAATCAAAGCAAACACAAAGTGTACGGAAAATGGGCGGAAAACTGTTGATTGCTAATTCATGATTTTCATCTGACGCCTTCAAAGCTTAGATTTAAATTTCCATGAAAAATATTATTTGAGATGTGTTTCACCGGAGGAGTTCAAGTTAGTACGGGTAAGTTTTGACGGTAAATGGGTGAATAAACTTGATGGCAAGGACGAGTGATATCTGCTAGTATATCCTATATTTTAGACCCAACTGCCTCGTTTTACTACTTACAGATGTTTCCAGTTGTCCTGATACACATCGTTGGGCACTAATGCAGCCGTGGCCAGGGGCTGCAGTTTGGCCATCTTGACGGCTGGAGGTTTCTCACTCGTATTTAGATTAAAGTTGAAATTTTGTGGAATTCGCCGCTTGTATTGGGCGCGCCACAAACGCGGTGGCTCCTGTGTTTGCATTGGGTTGCTCGCACTGTCGCGCTGTCGCTGCTGCAGTACCATCTCGTGCAGATGGCGGGTATGCTCAGTGGGCTTGATGTTAAAGATGCGCTTCCCAGACTCACAGCACTCTGCCGTGACATGCGGTATGGTAAGCAGAAAGTCCGTTATATTGTCGTGCAGCGGAAATGCAGTGCCCGTCAATTGTCGATATTCCTCTAGAAACATGAATTAATTTATCATTTAGAAGAGTATGTGCCAAGCCGAAGGAAATTGTTTAATTTTTGAATTAAACAAAATACAAATAGAGATTGCCATTCCCGGTAGATGTCTTATCTAGGTGTCAGTCTGCGAGTTTCCCAGCTCGAATTCTATTCGAGTCTATGGATGGGAAGTATTTAGATTTCTGATAATACTGGTGATGACAAAGCATTTAAACTCTGTTGCAACTGTCCAGCTCGAAGGACAACCTCCAAGAGCGGTGGATATCGAAAAGAGTATCAAATAAATTCTCACAAGGATCTTTGAGAATTAGTTCCAAACCGATCCGATGACAAACGAAAAAGTTCCACATTTTCCGCAAAATTTCCTAAGTTCCGGGTGGAATTTCCAAGATCGGTGAACAGGTATACATTTAACTTTTATGTTGGGCTTTAAATAATAAACAAAAAACTTCCATACGATGGTTTTCCGCCATTATACCACTGTTGCGGGTGGAATTTCCAAAGGGATTTGAAAATAAGTTTGAAGCAAATCGGACAAAACTTAAGACATCGTCTAAAAAATCTTTGAATGTCATTTCCACCGATAATGCTTGAATTTTACAATAAGTGTGAAACACGTCTAAAATGTTTTTTCGTAGATCCTTGGAAATGAATTTGTACGCAAAACGAAACCCAACAAATTATCGATCCCCATTTTTCCTGAGGAGGACCTTTGGGCTGTGCGTTGATCACCAATCAATCAGTCAGTCAGTCAGTCAGGACAAACTGTTTTATATAAAGAGATTTCTTGAATTTCTTTTTCTTAGCACGCTAAGTTAAAAATTCCAATAAAAATGTAAAATATCATATGAAAATTCTCAAAAAGGCAATAAAAAACGGATAAAAAAGGTACAAAATAAAAAACCACATGTTAAAATGTATAATTTCGATTAATTTAAAAGCAGTTATCGCTACCAGGTGGGCCAGGCTTTTCCCTTAGATTCAGACTTACTCTTGATGCTTGATATCGTGATACCATTCTGGGCATTAGCCAGCAGTATGGAGCGTATTTCAGTATCAATATCGGGGTACTCGTCGCGCACCCCAATATAGGTGTTGTCCATGATGGTCATGCTGGAGCTGGTAATACTTGTACTGGAGCTGTATTTCGATATCAATGTTGATGAGAAGAGTCTTGCCACAATTTGCAGCTGCTGCTCCTCCTGGCTAATGCACCTGCCAAGCACTGGCTGTTTTGCTGATGCCGCTGTTGCTGCTGTCCGAGCACTCGCCAAATTCTGGCGTGCTGTGAAAATCCTCTTGAACTTGCGCAAATAGGTAACTTTTTCGCTCAAAATAGAGCAGTCCGCGCGCACAAAAATGTTGTAGAGCTGTCCACTGCCACGTTGTTTCTGCTGTTGGTGTTGGTGTTGGTGTTGGTGTTGCTTAGGCTGCTGGTGTTGGTGAAGTTTAAGCAGCTGCTGGCGCCACTGCTGAAAACACGTGGTCAGCTTTTTCTTCAATGCCGTCAGGCGCTGGTTGTAAGTGTTCGGCACGCTGTTGAATTCACTTCTGAATGTCGCCATCGCTGTGACGAAAATGAGTTCGCCATTCGCTCTGCCATGTGCATTATCATTATTGCGCCCTCTCCATTCATCTTTCGGTGTGTGCGCGCTTTTGGAGACTTTTGCGCGCTGCAATAACTGCACTTTATCAGCCTGTGTGCTTTAACTCTTTGTGGCTATTGCATGCATTAGGGTAGCTCACTATTTGAAATTGAATCTAGGTTCGTAACATAAATAAATAAGCCAATACAGGAAAAAGCGAGAAAAGGAGTGAGTAGAAGGGGATCGTGTGAGGCGAGAGCATGTGAAAATTATTAAAAACTTAATGTACACAAAAATAATAATATATTTATTTTATTTATTTACACTTTTGATTTTAATAAAATAAACTCAGAACCTCGTGCCAGCAAACTAAATATTTTAAAATGTAAAGGTCGCCAAAATGAGCATTAAATATTATAGTTATTTATTTCTTTTTCATTTTTTTTTTCTTTAGATATCAAACATTTTAATATATTTCTTTGAGATTGAGAATCCTTGCTTGCTTAGATACATTTTGAAATTAATATTCCATTCACAATATAATTTTTTATTTACAATACAAAATCTATTAGTTTTTATTGATAGTAATTAATTTTTAAATATTTTCTTCTGTCAATTTTTTTTTAACTAACGATGAGTTCTTAATTAATCTGATTTTAATTTTAATTTAATATTTTCATAGAATATTTTCTGGAGAAAAAAACAATAAATAACTAGACGAATAAGTAACAAAAAGGCAGTAAGACAAAATACAAAGCGTAGGCCCAACACGATTTTTTTTTCTTTTATTGCTCGGAAGATAAGAGAATTATTGACATTAAAAATATATTTCATTTGTTTTTAAGCATTTTGTGCGCTATAATTAAAAACAAGTGCAACCTTTAAGCCTATAATGTAAAGGAATGAATCAGCTGCGTGTTGAATTTTACGAGTTTTCTTCACACCAAGATATGCGTTTGGCAGCTGGTTTTTCGTTTTCCCGACAGATAAGCAATGCACGCGTATTAAGTAATTACGGAATAATAAATAAGAGAAAAATAACCACGTGCTGCGGCAATTTTGAAATTGACTACCGGATAATAAGATGCCTCACAACTCCCCAGATGATTATCGAACAACATTTCACCTGGTGGAAGTGGGCTGCAGACACGAGACGACTCGCTTGAGGGTAAGCCGACAGCATTGATGGATGAGCAGGACACCCCCTACCCCCCCGCCCCTCCCCTCCCCTCCGCTCGTTCACGAATCAAGAAAAAGAAAGGAAACGCAGCAGACACAGCAGGCGGACGGGGCGTGTGTGGCAGCGCTTTAAGCCCCTGGACCAAATCTCCTAATTGCTGAGGAAGCTGCAGAGACGTGACGAGGAATACCATAACGGGCGCCGGCCAAGTGGCATGTGGCCCATTTGATAACACTTGCCTCATGTTTGCTCTTTGAGTTTTACCAGCAAATAAAACCGATTTGTATTTGCAAACATAATCCCACTGAGCCCACATGGAATGAGGGGATGTCTGACGATGTCGGAGGTTCGACAGTTGGATTGGATTCTGTTTGTCATGTTCGACACTTTTACTTCAATTACTGATTGCATTACATAACAAAAATCTTGTTTTCTGGAATCATTTGTATGCCTTCCTTCCTTGTCTACCAAAATACTTATCTAAAGCATATATCAAGCTTAAGACCAGTTGTTAACAATTTCTGTGAGCGCTAAGAAAAGTTCCTCCAGCTGGGATGGAAACTTAGGCGGTTATGAAATACATTCATCAATTCATCATACATCAATTTTTTATTGAAAAATCTCTGTTTAAGTCATTGT